ATCGTTATGAGAAGAGTTTAAAACAAGGTAGTAACCATTTTGCAATTCCCTGGTAAGGAAAGGAGGAAGTCCTAGGACTGCATACAAATACTGAATACTCAGTGCAGTATTGCCATCTGTTGGAAACTGCTTAGCAAAGCTGCAGAACAACTGCTACAAAGCCCTGGACGATGAACTGCCACACTGACTTTCTGTAGATTATTCCTATTTTCTGCTACAGAGAGGCTGCATTTACTTGGCAGGGCATTTTCCCTGTGCTGCTGCATTGCTGGGGAACTGGCGGAACAGGACAGGGGGTCTCTGGCCCCCAGCTCTGGCCCAGATCGTTCAGACCCTTTTCCTCATCTGATGCTACTGCCCAGGGCAAAGTCTGCGAAGACCAGGCAGGTCTGTAGCAGGAATATTTTAGAATCTCCCCCACCCCTCCAAGGGGGAAAGAGAAGGGAGTGCAATCTGCAAAATTTCTCTTTATGAATTTTAAAACCTGGGACAGATAAAAAGCATATTAAAACCACAATTCTACTTTCTAGCTAAGAAGTGTTTGTGTATCATGAATAATCAACGGCAATACTTTTTAGTACAAAAGATATGGCACAAGACCTGGAATCAGGAGTGTGGAGTTCCAGTTCCAGTGACTCGTTAGGAAACCCTCAGAGAACCATGCAGAGGTTCACTTTTGCAGCACTGCCAAGCTGAGATGCTCTGCAGCAAGTTTCAGGAGTGGCAGCCATCTGTACGGTGGATTCAAGATCTGATACCTCTGCACAAGATCCATAAATATCCGTGTTTCCTAAACATGCATATTCCAAAATTTTGTTTTACCTAATGAACCAAAAGTTCTTATAAGGAGTGTATGAACCATACAATTAATATGACCAAACAATGACTACATACAGAAATTCATTCCAATCGACAAGCGATAAAACATAGAAAGAATTAGCAATGGGAATCTTAAACAAAGTAATCACCACCTGTGATTGCTGTCTTGACCATCAAGAAAGACTTAAAAAGTATTCTGAAAAGACAAGCCCAGGAACAAAAATGACAGGGCAGAAAAACCATGGATATAATGGAAACATTGATTTTACAATACACTGACATTTTCCACACACATACTACCTCGTGGCCCAGAAGAAATGGGTAACTGCGGTTCTCTGTTTTCTATAAGACCCATATTACCTCTTCCCTTGCAAGTTTCCTTCACTGTTGCAGATGCCAGGTACCCTTTTCCCCCTCAAATTGTTTAACTGATTTACCTAGCAAAGTTAAATTTGGACCAATTTCTTCCTATCCTTAGCATGAAGTTTGCTCTGTCTGTGCCAGATCTGAAGAAGAGTTTGTATCTCTCACAGTCTGAGTAAAAAGATTACCTCTCCTTGCAAGCCATCCCCTTCTTAAAACTTTAGGGCACTTAAATTTATTAGAAATACTTAAAAATTTAGGTATAGTTAAATCAGCTCAAATATTTCAGAATTAGTACATTAGCACAGTCAGTCCTGACCTCAGATCCCTATGTGCTTTTTTCCTGAAGCCTGCTCCAACCTCATACAAAGTACATTTCTTTGCTGATCTGAGTGAGCCCTATTCCACCCCATTCACTGTAGTGAGTGTGCATTTGGGTATATCCCAGTGCTAAAACCAAAAGTTGATGGCTGTGATCTGCAAATCTGGGTCCTTTTTTGTATTTGAAACCTGGGACTGATTTTGAAAGTCCGGTCCCATTTCTTATCATCATTCCTCAGAAGAATCCGTTCCACTACTTCCTCTGTGGCCACTCAAGTATTTTGTTTCATTAATGGAAAACAAAAGCAGGATTCAAGACTGTGGTTTTGTTTGCTTTCACATAATAAAATAAGTTCGTACAATGGATTTAATGGAAGTGGAATTATATATGAAAAATTTTATCATGCCAGAAAATTTCAATTAGGGGAAATTAGCCACTTGGTTCTTTCTGATAAATTAATCATATAGATTATCTATTAAACGTGCCACTTAACCTTTCTGGCGTAAGTGCCTGAGGCAGTAGCATTTAGGCTCTCCACATTCATTTGGAAATATTAATTTCTATGCAGCTGTCTTCCAAAATGGAATTTTCACTTGTCTTTTTTGTAAGTAGGTCATTGTGCAGCTGTTGTTAATCGAGGCTGGCATTTATAAAATGGTAAATCCACCATTGTACCCTATCGGTCACAAAATTGATCTCCATCAATTACAGAGTATCCTTTACTAAAATTCCCTTTCTCAGCCCCAGAGGGTGTCATCCCTCGCTATGATAGCCTTTGGCCTTTTCGGAATGGCAAGGTGTTTCAGACCGTTACTTCGCAAGAGCTGAAGGACCACTATGTTCACACTATCTGTCTTCCATTAGTTTAAGGCTTTGCCTGGACTCCACATTATCACTTCCAAATGCATTAGAGCTGCCTTTAAATTAATCTTGAGAGAAATTGGTATGACAGCTATCAGCTGTCAGAGAAACAGCTGTCTCAACTGCTGATCTCCCAGGTCCAAATCCTCCTTCTACCCTCTACAATGAAATCAATCAGTCTTTTCAGTGTAGACAAGGCCTCACTGTCCCTGTAGTTATCAGCTGTTGCACAGCTTATGGAGAGACAAGCAACTCCTGGAACAGCTACAAACCACATCCTGTGGTCTTTAAAGATTAGAATTAGGACCTTGACCGGGATATCTTTCTCATCTGTCATAAAATTTGCATAGTCTGCTGCAGGAACAGTTTGGACTCTAGAACTCTCTGAGGTGTGTATACCCTGTATCCTAGGGAAATAAGAGAGGAAGTAAGAAAGTGCTGGCACCAAAGGAGGAGGTCTGAGAAAAGAAAATATGAATGGCAGAGGATGTGTAAACTTTAAAGTTAATGAAATGTGAGAGAACATCTCACAATCTTGAAGTGTTACAAAAGAAAGTAAATGGAATTTACATTATGTGAGCAGCAAGCACATTAGTAATGGATAACAAAATCAGCATTTTAGAAAGCGGAACTGGTAGCAAGGTAGTCATGTTACAGTTGCAGTTTGTCCGTACTGTAAACTAGAATGAATACATTATTGATTATCTTATTGATTACCTGAGCCTATAGATTCTTACACAGATACAATTAAGCATGAGAAGAATGCTTGTACATTTAGGATGTGAAGTCAACAAAATCCTGCTGACTTTGAGTTTGGGTTGGGTGAACTTGAAGGTTTAAGATCTGGAGGATTTGGAGACAATTCTAATAGTGCAAGGACTATGATAAAAAAAGACAGGGAAGGGGAAAGAAAATTGAAGAGAGCTGTGTTGAAACTTGGACTGAGGTACAGTTGGGCAGTTGTGCTGCATAAGGGCATGGGATTCAAATTTGATATGAAAAGGAAAAGAACAAGATTCACGATTGCTGCATGATCAGAGCAGTAAGAAGCCACAGAGCTATGCTGTGGTTTGGTAGTTTGGAAAGGAAGTGAAAAAGTGAGGTGGCCAGAAAAGAGAACTATAGTAATGAATGAAGATTTAAGAAAGGAATCGTTGAAAGACATTTTAACAGGTCATGTAACAAGATAGCAGGAGAGAAACTAAGGAAAAATGTTATGTAAGGGATCCCTGGATCTGGTAGGGTTGTGGTGAGACAACTTTAATGAAATTAAAAGAAAAAAAGCAGACAAGTGAATCAGGAGCATTTCACGGCTGACTATCAAATACTATCAGTAAGGTTACAAATTTTAAAAGGGTATTTGTTCTCTCCCTGTGACTAATAGGAGATACTTATTAAGCCAGAGAACTTTACATCCTGGGTTACAGCATGACTATGAACAGGAGTCTTGGATTATTGAGGGATTTATCCTAAAGGCCTTGAAAAGGAAGGAAGATGTCTAAAGTTCACATGGCAGTGTGCATGATGACCTAAGTGGCTTCTTAAAGACTTACTGGGCACTTGTGTTCTCCTTTGTGAAACTCCATAGTCTAATTGTTACTTGCTGTTTCATTTTCTTTCCATATAGGAAGGTATGCAGGGAACCAAACGGACTGACGGATGGTCAGGCAGCATGAAAGAAGTAGCTTTGCCTTGGAGAAATTGCCCAAACCTATGATTGGCAGGGATGAGAGTGGCCTCCAAAAATGTAAAAGGAATTAAAATGTGTCATGTGATTAAGATTTATTTTGCTGAAGAAAAAGGCTTTGGCCTATTAAACAGTTATTTTAAGTCTGAAAAAGCAAACCTTAGAAATAAGCAAGTGTGAGGTAAGGACCTTTTTTAGACAGTCTGTTATCACTATAATAGAGGCACACATTTGCTCATATAATTAAGGATCAGTTAAGAATGTTTTTTTGGTTTGCAGCAAGGAAAAGATGCTGATTCTGCTGCTTCAGACTTGGTCTGTGATTTTAGCGATCTGAGCCAAATTCATGCTCTGTGAGTCTGATTTAGGCCCAGATCCATGAAGGGGCTTAGGTGCTTAAAACATGACTTCACTGGGATTTATTCACCTAAGCCGCAGAATGCAATCTCTGGAATTTGCCGTACTCTTTTACACGCCCGCATTTAAACAACTTTCTGCTTTATGCCCACAACAGGCTTTTTTTTTTTTTTTCCCCTGAAGAACGGTGCAGCTGCTCGCCTGCCTGCCCTGGCCTGCCTGCGGAGCCAGCGTGCCACTGCCCGAGAGCGGGCCCGGCAGCGCAGGTGTCCAGCCCTGCCACCGCAGCTCAGGCCTGTAAGCTCCTTACGCAATGGCCGGAGGAAGCCAGGGTTTCCAGAGCGCAAAACAGAGTGGCCAACATGTCGTGCAGGGGCCACCCAAAGTGACGGGCAGATGATGCTGGCAAAAAGGGCAGGCACCCCTTTGGGGGGTTTAGATGTCTAGCGCAGGTTTTGGGGCGGCATCAGTGCCAGGCTGGGGTTCGGAGCTGCATCCCTACCCCGAGGCCTGCAGCTGGGACCAGGGAGCGAGCGGTGCTTCCCTCAGCAGCTCCCCCAGGCCCTCCGTCCCCCTCAGCCGGGCTGCGCCATGCAGGACCAGGCTGTGGGGCCGACCCAGGATAAAAATAACCCCGAGAAGAGACATTATTTACGGTCAACTCCCTACGCAACTAGGCGAGCTGCGGCCCTGACACAAC